GGCCAGGCCCAGACCCCCAAACGGGCAAAACACGCGTCCGTTTGGGACGGCACGTTGGAGTTGCTCATCATGGCTCTCTTGGATGAGCCGTCGCCTTCATGCATGTTTCTCACATCATATCCGTGGGAACCTTCCACTTATTGAAATGTGGAAGCAACATAAACATGCGTCTCCGAGTAATCCGCGGACTGTGGAAGTGTCACCAGAAACAAAAGTCAGGCAAGAGCTTGTACTACATGTAGCCGTAGGCATTTTTTCTTCCCTTCCCGCCGAAGATTACTTGCTTACGGGAAGAAGCAAGGCAAGCAATCATCGTACCACAACCGCTTAAGATGAGTCACAGTTTGACCATCACATGTTAATCATCGTTCCCTGAGCAGGACGGCCGCGGCGCAGAAGTAGCACGACAAAAGAAGGGACAACATCTATATCTATATCTATTTTATTCTATACTCTATATATATACCTATTAATAAAAAATACCAAAATAGGTATTCTTAGTCCGTTTTACTATTTTATAGAAAACCTCTAATGTTTTTGACATTAAACCCATAGTACATATCAATTGTTTTTTTAAATACTCATATCTTCTAAACCGTAACTCTAAATTTAACATTTCATATATGGAATTTGATTAGAAAAATATGTAGAATCTGAATATGATGTTATTTTACCTGTTAACAATTTAAAACGTATTATCTAGGCTGCAATGTTAATCAACAATGCATTATAAAATATGGGTTGTCCACTATAAAAGAAATAAAAAAGAAAATGCAGAGGAGATCCGATAAAGATGAGATGTTGCACTATTCTCCTATAGATAAGAAGAAGAAAAAGTGGACATGCATGAAAAAAAGTAAAAAGGAAGCATGCATGACAAAAAAACAAGTTTGATAAGATATAAACAGTGATGAAATAGGGACCAATACTTATGACATGTATGGCAAGAAATAGTGATGAAATAGGGGCGCAAGTACCTGCGTCCACAAGAAACCATACAAAAAGTTTCTTTTTCAGACAAAAAAATATCTTTTTATGATTAAAAAAGGCATGTATCTTTTTAACAACATTTTTAACAACTTTTCATGTACTTAAGAAATATGCATGTGAAAAAAGTGTTCAAGAGTTACCCTAAGTTGGTGATTCTTAAACTTAAAATTGCCATTGATGCACATATGTCTCCGTAGTGTGCTAATGTGTCATCGTTTGTTTTTGTCGTTTTTCTTTACTCACCCGTAACAACAACCCATTCCGAACATGACATGAATAAATGCATGATCACTTGCCCGTTTCTTTGTACGGATTAAATCTACATGCAAGCCGTGTTGAAATAGAACACATGTAGAATCTTAAACTACGCTTTTATAGGTTAATTAAGACCATCTTTGTTTGGGCCGTAAATACAAATTCTCATATTATAGACCATTTTTTTTGTAAATTAAGCGTGTGGTGTTTCTTTCTTCCGTTGCAACGCACGGGCCTTTTTGCTAGTGCAGCCTAAGCCAAGTAGAGCGCATGTAAGCCCAAGCCTTCCCAAGCCACCCGCGCCATCAGTCTGGAAGAAGCGCACATACCTTACGTGAGCACAGAAGGCCGTGGATCAGTCCCAGACTGCGAGGACATCCACCGGCACCATGTTGATGGAGCCGTCGGCATAGTGGATCTGAATCTCACGGGGGATCCCGCGAAGGTGGCGGCGAATGTTGCTTCTACATTTCAATAAGTGGAAGGTTCCTACAGATATGACGTGAAAGCGTCACTAGAAATGTAGAAGCAACATTCGCCTGAACACAACATGCTCCTCCTAGTAATCCGAGGACTGTGAAAGCGTCAACAGAAACAAAAGTCAGACACGAGCTTGTACTACTTGAATAAAGCAAAACTTTTTCCTTCGGTTTGAAAAATAAGAATGACTTCGTTTTGGTCTTGTTTTTGTATTTTGAATATTTGTTTAATAAGTTGGTTGTATGCATCTCGTTGATGCAGAACGTGAGGCTATCCCTTTTTGGAAAAAAAGCAGTCTACGTCGCTGTTATTCAATTACTGTTGCACAATCGTTTTTGTTTGTGAAATGGAGGCAAAAGATTTGCCTCGTATATAAAAAGAATAGTTTATGTTACAAAATTACACCTCTTAGTACAACAAATGAATTACTCTACCGGCATGATTGTCCCTAGCTTGTTGGCGCTCGCGGCCACCCAAAGCGAGGCATCCTTCTTAATGTTGTCGAGAAGGATCAACTGTGGTGCGCCTTTGTTTCTAAATACCCTCGCGTTCATGTCATTCCAAATGGACCATGAGATGAGCACCGTTAGGGATGCCATGGCCTTCCGATCTGGGATGCGTGTTTCGGATAAATCAATCCACTAATCTTTGAGGGACGGTGGCATTTGGAAGTATCAATATGAGCAAGAAAAAAAAATGTGAGCAAGCTAGAGCCGAGCCTTGATCATGCCCCACAACCTTAGTGTGTCCCGACATTCAAAGAGAAGGTGGTCAACTAATTCATGCTCCTAACCATCTATTGCCGAATCATGGCATATCAGGTCCTAGGCACTACTAACCATCTGTTCATCTTTCTTACTGATCACACGACGCATCACTTGTGCTGCTACTTTTTTTTTTGCCGTGGCACTACTATTCCTAGTTAAGTAGCAAGCACCCTGGAAATGAAGAGTGGTCCGGATGTTTGGATCCTCCAAAAGCTGTTTCGTGCAAACAAGACAAGATCGATTCGTTGGCTGTGTCATCTTCTGCTACTGTCATGGAGTTGTGTATTAACTCGTGTTTGCGCGTCAAGTAGTAAACAAAATATAAGTCCCTTTAGATCACTATTTTATTGATAAGTAGTGATCTAAACGGTCTCATATTTTTTTTATAGAGTGAGTACATCCTTAACCATGGTTTTTTTGGATGAGCCGTCGCCCTTAGGCATGTTTCTCACATCATATCTGTGGGAACCTTCCACTTATTGAAATGTGGAAGCAACATAAACATGCGTCTCCGAGTAATCTGCGGACTGTGAAAGTGTCACCAGAAACAAAAGTCAGGCACGAGCTTGTACTACATGTAGCCGTAGGCATTTTTTCTTCCCTTCCCGCCGAAGATTACTTGCTTACGGGAAGAAGCAAGGCAAGCAATCATCGTACCACAACCGCTTAAGATGAGTCACAGTTTGACCATCACATGTTAATCATCATTCCGTGAGCGGGACGGCCGTGACGAGCCTCGCCACGCGGCACGCGCGCAGAAGTATAGCAGAACAAAAGAAGGGATTATTAGGTTCGTCGACCCATCCAGGTTCAGATCACGGGACAGCGCGACGAGTCTTTGCCGTCCACACCGAGCACACACAGCATGCTAGAATTGCTAGCAGCTGATGTAGTTCCGTTTCTGCGGCCGCTTCATGGTGACAAGTGCGCGCGTGAGAAGGACCCGGATCAGACCCGGACCTGCGACCTGTGTGAACCGAAATGGGGCCGTACAGTGCACCGTCGACTGCTGATGCTGATTGATCTGTTGGCTGGCTGGCTGCTCCTGGTCGAGGCCGGCCAGCCGGCGACCGGGACCAAGGCGAGCGGCCAATGGGGAGGCGACCGGTGTTCCGGCGTACTGCCTTGCCGGGACCCCTGGGTCGGGGTGGCTTGTTTTGACGCCGTGCCAACGTGTTTGGCCTGGCCGCACTGTGCGCGTCGCCGTCCCAACCGTCCGTGACTTCGCCGTCCCAAACCGTATGAACCGGGCCATGTCAGTCGTAACTCGACAAATACGTGAACCTAAGTTCGTACCGCCAGCGACCGTCTTCGGTGTATTTACACCGTACTGCTGCTCCCTGTCTCTACATGTGCTGTGCACCTGGGTTATGGATTGAATCTGTTTCGTGGGTCAGTGGATGGCAGATAAGGCGAGAAAAGAAGACATAAAAAGAAGCTTATCCTTCCCTCCGGATCAGACGATCAGAGATAAGATGGTCAGCACACCACACCACACCAGCTTTGTTTGTCCGATATTTTCCCTTGCCTCAATCGTCACTTTACATCGTCGATCGCCAACCGTTTCCGCACGTCAACCAACATAACAACACTCCTTCATGTGCAGGGGGCGCATCATATCCTTAACCTTTACCCACTCTTCCGCCTTTTTTATCTCCCGCTCGGATTAGTTCCTTCCTAATCGCGCGATCTTTTGTTAGGTAATCGGCATCATCATTCATTTTCATCAGCAAAGCAACCTGACGAGACGGCCAAGATAGAGCGGATCGAAACTTTAGATTATAGATTAGAAATAGGAAAGAAATTCGTGCGCAACGCCGGAGCATCCATCCATCTCAGGAGAGCGACGCATGTCGCGGGCGCCAACCACCGCGGTTCGTCGTGCCAAGTTAGCAAGCAACGAGCTCGCTGCCGCCACCTGTCACCTCCGGCGCCAGTCACCGGACGCCATTGGCGCACGTCGGGATCCTATTCCGCGCCCCAGATCTTCAACGACACGGACGTGACCGGCGCGGGTGAATTATGCAGGTCCGTTTTAGTCCCCCGGGGCTACCGAACCATATCATCGACTCATCATTATATTTACTGTTGCAGAAATCCTGAACGTTGCCGGTGATTGGCCGCGCGTCCTTGTCAGTGATCCAGTGCGAGCATAACCGGTGAATATTTTGTGAGCTAGAGACAAGACCCGCTGGCTGCTTTGCCTTTGTGTCAACATAAAGATGATGCCAATGAGGCCCGTTCCTTGTTTATTTGCATGGCTAAATTAGGCCAGTAAAGTTGGGCCTTGTGATGGTGATAATACAGGATGGTTATGGATGGATCGGTGATGGCATTTCTTAATGCCATGCCAGCAACACACGCACACTGACTGACATACTACTGTTTAATGTAGCACGCCACTAGCAAAAGCTCTTTCTTCTTGTTGCTGTTCTTCTTCGTCGTCGTCGTCGTCTACGGAAAGATCTCTTTTAAGCCGTCGCTCCGGTGGGTGGTCTTTCGCTCGCTCTAGGTGACCCTGATGGTTCCGAAAAAGGGCGTCCTCGGCGATGGCGACGAACCGGCGGCAGCACCGGCCTGCTGGTCGGTCTTCCGGGCGGCCGTGGACGAGATCTTGAGCTCCAGGTCAGGCGCCTGCCGAGGAGGATTCGCATTTGCCACCAGGCCCAGGGAAGGAGGGAGCTTCGGTGCACGGCTCGCTGACGGTGCGCCGATCATCGACGACGGCGGCGAGCAGCTCGGCATCAGAGTCAGGCACGGCGGTAGCGCCGCGTCCGGCCTCGGCCGGCTGGCGCCCAGGGAAAGAGCAGGGAACGTTAACCCCATCGCGTCCACGGAGCTGGTGGCATCGGGTTTCAGCCTGTGACGACGCTCGGTGGCTCCCCTGTCGCCATTTTTCTCCACCTGAAGAGAACATTGGAAGAGGCCGTACCATGTCAGCTGTGTAGTTACTTCTACTACGTGCAAGTGCAACGAGGATGACGATGATGGGGTAGCACGTACGACGTCGAAGAGGCTGGACCGCCGCTTCTTCTGCGCGAGGCCGGCCTGCCGGAGGAAGTACTTCTGGGCGTGGCTGGCGACCTGCGTCGGCGTGCGTGTGGTGACGAAGTGCCGGGAGATGCCTCGCCAGTCGCCTTTCCCGAGCTTCTCCAGGCCGGCCAGGAACCTCCGGTGCTCGTCCTCGGTCCATGGAACCCCTGCTCACGATCCACTTACAAGTTCAGTACTGCATCATAAACGTAATTTGACATCTTATAAGATGTTAATTCTACCAGACTTAAATAAATGATATTTAATCCCCTGAAATAAATGACAAAGTAGCTGCAGGGATGGGAGTTGCAAGTTGCAACCCCTGAGGCATCGGTCTGAACCTTAACAAAGTCAGCTGCCATGCTATCGCTCATCAAGTTGGCTGACAAATTGACGGACAGCAACTAATTCGAGAAGAGGATCCAAACACTGATGCATCTAAGAATCTTCAGATTTTTAGTTAAAAAACCAAGTATCTTCAGATATTTTTTCTTAGTGAGACCATAGATATCATGATGATTATCACAGATTATAATCTCCCAGATCCTTAATGAAGCGTGTCACGGTGGTGTACCGACTACATACCGACCCAACGAACTGTTCAAGAAATCAGGACACACGAACTCACCTTTCTTCCTCTCTTGAGCCCTGCCCATGAGCCCGTCGGAGAGGTACCCGTGGCCCATCTTCTCCGGGCTCTCCTCCACCGAGACGAGCGACGACGACGACGACACGGACGACGACGAGTTGGACGCGGCGACACCCACGGCCGCGGCCGCCGCGTAGTAGGCCGACGCGGTCGACGACAGGCACTCCATGCTGAAGCTCTTCTTGAGAGGCGCGGCGCCCACCTGCAGCTGCACCCCAAACAGCCTCAGCCCACCGCCGCCGCCGCTCTCAACGCCTCGGTGCCCGCCGCAGGTCCTCGAGTTGTGGCCATTGTGGCCGCAGCTCGAGCATTTCCTCGCCATGCCGATCGACGGCACAGTGAAACCAACAAGGCTGGACGGAAGGATGGAGAAGAAGGAAATGATTCCTCTGGCTCTTAGGCCCCGAGATAAGACGATGGTGTGGACTGCGGGGAGACGTAGCATCCGGGGCTTAATAGGGGAGAAAGGCGTGGCGGGGGACTGGCGATTTGCTGGGGAGCGCACACCTGTGCCGACGACGGCGACGCATTGGCATCGTCCCCCTTTAAGGTATTGACAATTCAATCAGGCGCCGGGAGCGCTGGCGTATTTAACTGCACCCGGAATCCGGCGGAATCTGCCCAGTCTCTGGATGCCAATAATGCCATCCCTCCGTCGCCCTCATGCTGTGTATGTTGCTCCTGTATGGCTCATATCCATGTTTCTTTTGCCCAAGTCCGACATGGTTAACCGATTGGAAAAGTCTTGTGCTAGCCTCTTTAGGGAAAAAAAAGACTCCTATAATGTTGCACTACTAATGACACTGAAAGTCACACGAGCAATGTGAACTGTGAAGTGCCAGGAAATATCTACGGATCAATGGATGGATCGGCGTGGAAGACGTTTCATTCACCCCCAGATCCATTTCCAAGTTGCAGCAGTAAACAAGATCAGAGAAAGATACTGTTTTGCTAGGTCCCTGACTGAGTGGCTTGGAATCTTATGTTCTAGTGCACGCAACTATAAGAAAACGAAATAGGACATTCAGCGGAGATAGGGCTGTGATTAACAAAACTCGGAATACAAGGTTGTTAGGCCTCCATTGTTTCAAGGACTAAGGACACTGGCTAATAACAGGACTGACAGGGAAGAGGCCTTTCTATGCAAGCAAGCAAGCATATTGTTATCAGGGTTAGGTGCCAAGATCCAAGATTGGACCAAAAAGTCGTCACCATAACAACCACAAAAGGGAGATATGCTAGTATTATCTACCTTCCACAGCCATTAGAAAATAGGGTTTGCTGGCTATAGTTTATTTTTGGTTCCAGGGTAGAAAATGTCAGACAACTGCTTGTTCTACTCCTGCTCCCTCGGTTTGTGATGTGTTCTCACTGGACTTTTGGTAAAATGGGCATTTTTTTTACTATGCTTCCAGCTTCCTACCATGATCTCTCTTCACATCCATTGGCAGACCAAGTAATCAACAACCAGCCAGTCTTTGGTCTTCAAGACTACTAATATGGAGTTGGAGATAAGATGAAGTCTGTCCTACCCTAATCCACACCAAACCAAGGAGTTAAAGAAAGCTGCAGAGGTTGGTGCCTCATTCAGCTTAACAAATCACATGCGTTTAAGTTATCTATGATGTGTGTGCACACAAAATGGACCATACTAAGTCTTAGTTTTACCTGTCAATTTAGTGCACCTTATGTTATGACAACAGCGATTGCTTAGCGCCCTAGGCTTCTGCTTTACTGTCCTCCTACATGAGGATAATATCTTGCTGCCTATGTGTGTGTCTGCAACCATATCTCAATGTCAGCGTGATCATGAATATGCTACAGTGCCCTACTGAAAACGACGATTTCAATGATTGATAGCACAAGCAGTACTACTCCGGAATAACTTATCGGAGGCGCTGGGTGCTACTGTACGGGAAAGAACACTTCTGCGCACATCCTTCTCCGTTCGTACTAGATGAGATGCCATAATAATATTTTTCACTAGATGAAGAGGAAAAGCTCCCCAGGACTGGATAACCAAAGGTGTAGGCTAGGCACACCGCAATAAATTAAAGAGTTCAGTCCGAAGGTAGCACCCATGATATATAGAGAAAAGTCTATTTGCAATTTTCAGTTCTGGGCCCTTTTTTATATATAAAAACCGAACCGTAAAATTTACGAAAATTTGGTATGTGTGTATGTGTATATACTATCTATGTGCCTGCAATTTTTCATGTAATACATGCTTCTATATAATGAGCACATAACAATATGTGGATTTGAACTAGCAACCAAATACACACACTGATTGCTAAACTTCAGGAAAAAAAATTATAGCTCACGTGATAAAGTATTTTCTAATATTTTTTTACACATATGTAAAATACATCTATATTGACATGCATAATTGTTTTCAGAATTTTGGCACTTTCGGATACGAATTCTTTTTTTAGCGCTCATTAGAGTTCACGCTACAAAACACGTCACTCATTTGAACACTGAACAACTGTGTTTGGTCTGAACTGAACCCCAAATGGTGCCACCATTTAATTCAAACCTAAATTTCTAAAACATGTGTAACTGAACAACATACCAGTTTTGAACTTTGTTAATACCTCAGTCCTTTCAAAAATAAGAAAAAAAAATCTTAGATGTAGAAAATTGAAATGACAACCACATAATCCATCAAAAAAATATGACTATGTATGTCACATGCAAAAATGAAAAGAAAAATTATTGTCTTTCATGTGTTTACTATGGAATAAACTGAATTGCCAAGGCGTCTTATATTTAGGAACAAAGGGTGTATTATAATATGGTTGATGATATAATTTGTACTTTATAAACCAATAAAAACCATGAATTATCTCATATTGTTCTAGAAGCTCGGAATTGCAAAAATCACACTCCGACTATTTAGGGTGATTTTGCATATTTTTTATAGTTTGAAAAAACTTTAAAAAACCGTGAACACATGGGATTCTACGTATCGGGGTATGGCAAATATTTGAAAAATATGACAATTAACCTTACATATATTTTTTATTTATCTCATGTTAGTTTTGCACATGACATGTATAGTCATAGTTTTGGACAGTATTTTGCCCATTATAAGTTCGTAACGTTACCTGCATATATTAGTTTCCATTTTTTGTAAAGATAAAATGCAATATCTGAAAACGAGCCGAGGTTAAGTTAAAGGGTTCTAGAAAAAACAGAATTAAACATTGACCATGTCGTGGTGGAAGCTTCAAAGGAGAATTGGAACCATAGTGCATGGTTTAGATTAGACTTATATAGGCAATCATTAGAAAAAATTGACATATCCTAGAAAAATCCAAGGAATTCGAGAAAACTCACAAATAATTTAGGAACATTCACCATGAGTTTTTCATCGGTGTTTCTAAAATATTTACAAGTTTGTCGAATATCTGTTTTGGAAATAGTTATGATTTTTTGTCTGAATATCTGTTTTTAAGAATAATTATGGATTTTTTGTCCAAATCTATTTTCAAAATAGTTACGTTTTTCTACGTTCTGCTTTTTATTTAAGATTTTTGAATTGTCATCTTAGTCCTTAGACCATCTCTCCCAAAAGACTTTAACTCCTTAAAAGATTCCCTTTAATTCCCTTTTTGAGAAGTCATAGTAAAAGATTCCCTATCTTGCGCGGCCGTCTTTCTGTGTTGCTCAGGCACTTGCACGTTCGTGCTGCCCTCGTCGCGTTTCATTGCCTCCGGCGACCACCCCGGAAGGCCACGGCACCTCATAGCTCCGCAGACTTTCAGACGCCAAATTTTGCCGAGGTTCTGACGAGAATCCGGCGATCTTTTTTCTTCACTTTTTTTGTCTTTTCCGCCATCTCCGACCACGGCGGCGCTCCCCCCAGTCGTCCCTAGCATGGTTGCATTCCTCCTGTCAACCCCATCCACGAGCAAAGCTACAAACACACGCGAAGGAACACTTAAAGGAGAAAAAGTTCACCTACATGAAGAAAACATACATGAAAGGTGGTTGCCGACCACCATCGCCTATTCCAATGAATCCTTGCGTTCTGGATCATGCCATCACGTCACTAGGAGAAGGATGAGAGGAAGAACCAATTCATACGAAGAAACACCCAAGCCATAATCTGTGGAGGACGAATTATCCTTTCTCGGCTGCTTCGTCACAAGCTTACGTCGCACTTCGATGAGTCTATTTTTTTTTTGAAACGGAGGCAAAAGATTTGCTTCATCGATTAATTAAGCAGAAGAGAATTGCTCAGTTAATTAACGGAAAACCGAGCGAAAACCGATACAAACTAACCACATGCGGATTACTCACAGAGCATACAACTCCAGAAGCGCACAATCAGCCCTACAAACAAACCCAACATGGAACGACCATCAACCTCCAAACTACTACATCGCAAACAAACCCCTAACAAGAGCACCTCCGCCGAAGTCCACAAACACCGCCAAATCCACATAGACAAACACAAACCAGACCATATGGACCGCCCAATAGACTGATGAATATCCATCAAGCAGCTGCAGACGCCTTTCCTGTGACGTCACTCTACTTAGTTTTGCTCCTGAGAGACTTCTCCACAATGAGTCTATCAAATTACTTTTGCGGAGCATCTACCCTAGGTACTAGCTAGCTATGGAAATCATCTAGTGCTGAAAATTCACCATTGTCCGCGTGAAAGGAAGAAGAAGGAAGGAGAGAGAGAGAGAGAGGGGGGGGGGGTTAGATTCACATTTTTTAACTCAAAAAATTTGAGGATTTAAAGTTTAAGGACGTATTTCAGAAGTTTAATTTTAGGATTTCGTTAAAGATGCCCTTAAGAGCATCTCTAACATCTAGCCGAACCCACGAAAAGGTTTAATTTCTCAAAAGATTCCATTTTGAGGAGTTAAACCAGACCTAGCCGAACCCTCAGCCAGTTTAACTCCTCAAAAAACTTAGGCGGTGTGCTGACTGCCTCACAAATTTGACTGGCCGAAGCGAGTACGCAGCAAAAAATATTCCCTACCCGCTCTGCCGTCTCTCTCCCCTGCTCGACTGCTT